TTGTAAAAGAAAACACGAAAAACAATTCACATCTACCCAATTACCTGAAAGAAGAAACGACAAAGAAAAGAAAGATAAGCAGCATGAATTAAATATTACTCGAGAACATGCATTTTAGATTCGAAGCCAATTCGCCTGCTTGTTCTTCAGTTCAATACAAACTTCAACCTTGCCGTAACTGTGATGTTGTCCTCCACATTAAAGTAATTTCGAATCCGGCGCGTGCGAGCACACGAAATCACTCCTATTGCTAAAAGGGGGTTCGCGGGGCAAATGCTGCGACAATACTTGTGTGTGGGAGAGAAGGGGCGGGAGGGGGGGGGGGGGGGAAGGAGTGGTGTTTTTTTGTGATCTACTACGCGTCTTATCCAAGGCTTCCGTTTTTTTTAAAAAGATAAAAATACATTTGTTTTGGAGCATATTGTTTCTTTATGTTTTTATTTCCGCGGGTACTTCTCGCTTCTAGCAAAATAGATGCCAACCCAGACAATATTTGCATAGCTTATATGAAGGCTACAATCTAGGGCCAGCTGCGACAATTCACATGACTTATGAAAGTACATCTTCACACTAACTATTTTTTATGTTGTTTCTCGTTAAAGAATACCACTCTTGGATGTCTCAAAATGCCTACCGAGGTTGTTGTTTTTCGTTTGCTAAAATGTTGAACTTTTAAGTATCTTTGTCAAATGTTGCGTTTTACTACAAAGTTTCCCGGAGCTCTATATCCTGTTCAAGCTCTTTCATTCTCATCGGGCTTTGTTTGAATTTATTTCCTACTGCTTATAGTAGAAACATCTCCGCTTCTTAGCCCCTGCAGAACTACATGGCACTTCACGTTGTAGATTGAGACTAACCAGTTGCAAATTAGATATTGATTAAAGGAAGCATTACCTATCCGCACACTCACTGCCAATAGATTAACAGAAAGGCTCATACATAACACGTAGGAAAAACATGTGATTTTCAATTGTGAACCATTTTTTAAATAGTTTGTTAACAACAACATTTTGATTGTTTTTATCAATTTATGTTTTCTTTGTGATATGTCCTGCAACGTATTTTTATTTCTAAGATACGAGTCTTACGATGTTTATGTTTTATTCCCTAGACCCTTCAACGTAACTCAATGTATCCCACACCTAGGGAGGGCGCGTTTTTTGAAAATATACAAGAGCGAAAACTTGAGTACGCATCTATTTTCGCATATGATACATAAGGCGTGAAGATTGTTATAATTATTATAAAAGCAATTCTGGAACTGGGTCCTTATACTTAACAGGCATGCAAGTGGTCACATCGGAGAAAAATTATATTGGGGGGAGAAAAACAAACCAAAGTATTGCTTCATTTCTTTTTTTTTTTAGGATGGCGGTGTGCTTTATATACTGGTAGCATTTTCCGCGAGCTGGTTTGCTGGTAAATGCGAGTATCTCTCGAGGAACTTACTATTGTAGCAAAATAAATTTTAACTCCACGTGGCCAAGTTTATGGGGACATAAAACTAAAGGATAGCAAGCGTTCCAAGCAAATGGCTGCCTCAAGTCCGTCCTCGCTTCGAATATTTAAGTTCGATTTTTCGTGACGAAAGAGGGCGAACGTACTTAAAATTCAAGTTAAATAAATTGTATTCGCGAACGGTAGGACTGGCGTGTCGAGGTGTTTCTGAAGAAGGTAGTGTTGAACGAGAACTAAAGAAAACGGCTAGGCAATGCTTACGTCTGCTGCGCGGAAGAGGCTTGAAGAAGGTACTTCCTCCGTACAATGCCAGTCACTTAACCTTGAGGTCTCTCTTAAGGCTGTTTTAACCACACGAAGAAATACCCGCTTTCACCAGCAAATCGGCCCTGGATAGAATAGAAAAATGCCCGAAATAAACTGGTAAACACAGCATTATCTCCGAATTACGAGTTTCTCAAATAAGATTTGTTGCAAACACCTGTCGACTTTTTTGTTGTTAGTATTTTTTTCGCAACAAAATTTCGACACCACATTTTTCAAGCGGAAGCAATCTGTCTGAGTGGCAAGCTATATGTACTGGAATCACGTTATTTCGCGTCACGGACGTATCCAAGCACACCACCGTCAGACCAAACTCGAACTGCCTAACCGGCTTCCACCCTTCCTGACCTCCTCTCTCCTTTACTCCAAAATATATATTTAGCTCAAACTCACCTCCCCCCTCCCCAACAGTCGCGCCAATCACCCACCCAAATTTTCGCCCCATCCCTATTGTGCTCATAAATATTATCGTGCCCAAAGAACTCCCCCCTTTCTCCCTTTCTTTGCACCATCCCGCCCTCTTCCAAACTTCTACCCTAAATGGAACCCAAAATATGTACCCCCAGTTACTTCCGTTCTCTTCTTAAAGAGGGTGGAAGAGAAAGAGGGTTACTCTGCTGCCTTCCAGCAGAGCGTGTGTTGTTGAGAGCGATCGCTTCCGCACCGCGCTTACTCATCCCCTGTTCAGCCACGCACGCGCGAATCCCGCCCGAGCGGTTCGGTAACGGGAACATTAGGTGAAAGCGCTTTCGGTTGACTGAGAGCGCATCCGTCAGCTCACCTCAAATTGTGGTACCGAAAACACAAAAATAAAATAAAAATCAGCCAGGACAAAAAATCAAAAAAAGAAAGTAGGAAGAAGTAGCTTGAAATAAAAGAAGGAACCAGCAGTCGAAATGGCAGTACCGTGTGATACCGGTGACATTTCCCTTGGGTTATTTGTCCTTACCAGTTTGTCACCACTATGTCATCCAACCTTTTTTTTTATGTTTGAGGTGCTGGGTGTGTGGTTTGGCGCTTTCATGCTTTTGCATTTTGTGGGGTCTAGGAGATGCCTCCCATACCATTCGTACTCAGCTCAGTCAGTTCCGAGTTCCGGGAACCTAATAATCGCCTAAATTCGACTGATGTATTGTGTGCGACAGGGTGCCTCGTGCGGAAAACAAACGTGTTCCGTTCATGCAGCTGAGATGCCATTTGCGAAAAGGACAATTGTGTCTTCCCTCGAACGGAAAGCGACCTGCAGGACGTGGACGCGTCGCTCGAAAGAATAATTCCTTGTCTCCACACAAAATATGTTCCACATATCGTTTCAGTACAACATAAACTCGGCGTTCATTCGTAAGTTCGACCGCATATGCTTGATGTCTTGCGTACATGCAAATTTAATTATTTTCTTTTACACTTTTTTAGAAACAAATGAAAGTCAAGAGGGACAACTGACTGTGTTGACCTCTCACCTACAAAATTGTTTCTCTTTTTTTTTCCACGTAAGTGTAAACGCACTGAAGATCGTGTATTAAAAAAGACTGCCGAAAAAAAAAAGAAACAAGTTGTGACTCCCCACTGTGCGTGCATAAACGCCCGGGTTAAACAGTGCACGGTATCATGCTGTTTGCCTCGTCACTCGCGCGACGAGGCAAACAGCATGAAAGCGACGGAAGCAAGCGACCAGGACGATGAGCGACGATTTCTGCAAATCCAGAAAACCGAGCGAAAAAAAGCTGCTAGTTGGCAGTTTTTTTTTTTCCAGCTCCTCGTCACATTTATATCCAAATATATTCTTCCTTATGTCGAAGCTGAGCACACCTTGCTTATTTCCTTTTGTATGTTTCCTTTTGCTCATGTTTCGGACAGTCTTGTGATTGTACTAAGTGCTTCTTTCTCTTATTTTAATCTAGATGTCGCCAGCTCCAAACACTACCTCAAGAAGAGCACAGTCCCGAGTGAAAATCTGCCACCGTCCTCCACCCACAACAAAAGGAAGGAGGCTAGACGTCAGAAGCTGCAGAAGGAAAGACAAGACCGCCAACAAAAACGAGCATGCCATGCTTCAATGCAGAGCCCTGTGGTAGCAACGCTGCAAGAACATGTACATATTTTTATTAAGCTGATAAGAATTCTTTTCGAACCATTATTTTTAGGCAAAATAGCTTAGCCTAACAAAAAGCCAGCATGCAGCAAAAAAAAAAACAAAAAAAAACAACTGAAAACAACTATGCTTGAGGTGAAAATAAGTAAACTTGTGATTTTTCCTGTACACCACCCCCCTGATTATATGTACCTACTAAAATAGCACACATGATGAAAAGGCATTTTGTAAAGCAGGAGACATTTTTATTTGCAAGTCATTTTGTTAGCTATAATAGAGCAGTATGTATTTTCCTGATTTAGCTGCAATCACAGAAGTGAAACTGCTAATGATGAAGTACTGACCTGAAAAGCTAAGCCACAACTTGCTGTTTTCCTTGTCCGCAACCCTATGGTGCTCTGCATCTCCATTTAACAAATATATGTCAATAAGTAGGACCACTAAATTGATCAAGGTGTTTTTCATATGTCTGCAGCCAGAGTAGAGAGCAAGTATTACTCGTAGATCAAGACAAGCCTCTCTATATTCATGTTAAACCGAATAATCACTGTACTAAAGCTGCAAACAAATTTTGTTCTCCAGGAGGGCCTGTCGAGCGACGAGGAAAGAAGCCACGACGCTGCTACTGGGAGCTGCGAAGACGTCACACTTCTCACCGAGAAGGAACTGGATGCTGCCGAAGCGTTGGTCTGCTTGCGCGCTCTTGACCTTTGAAGACAAGGCAGTCCAAGTGACATCTGGAGACTTCGGGTTCCATTTTTCACGCATACTAGATGATTCCAACATTTTTTCTATTACAGGTTCGCGCAATATGAAGGTTTTCAATACCTTGCAACGTGTGCTCGAGGAAAAGATGCCTTTGACAGGAGCCCACATTTTGTGTTGGAAGAACCGAATTGTACTTGCAATGATGGTGCTAAAGCACACCTTGTCTTTTGACCTGCTGAGTCACGTGTTTAGGATATCACCAACAACATGCAGCACAACGGTAAAAGCGGCGATAAAGGCCTTAGCTGTCATCTTAAGATGTGCTATCATCTGGCCATGTAAGGACGAGATCCTGAACAACATGCCACACTGTTTTAAGGGCTTCACGAAGACACGTGTTGTCTTAGACTGCACATAGATGAGCATCTCGCAACCGAAGTGCCTCCAGTGTAGGATAAATACGTATTCACACTATAAAAAGGGGTATACGATAAAGTACGTGATTGGCGTCTCACCTGGAGGGCTAGTGACACATGTAAGCCAAGGGTATGGTGGACGTGCCTCTGACGAGGCTATATTCCAGCAAAGTAACCTTGTGTCGCAACTTCTGCCAGGCATCGACCATGTCATGGTCGATAAGGGCTTCCTGATCGAAGATGTGTGCGAGAGCTGCCTCATAGAGGTGATACGACCACCTTTTCTTCAACAGAAGCAGCTCTCTAAAGCCGAGGCTTTGCGGACAAAAAAGATAGCAACAGCAAGAGTCCATGTTGAAAGGGCAATCCAAAGAATTAAGATTTTTAAGATTCTCTCTCAGAAAATGCCATGGAGCATGGTCCCACTGGCAGACGACATAGTATGCATAGCCGCTGCATTGGTAAATCTGTCCAAGCCCATTTTGGTAGACAAGAGATTCATGTAGATACCAAAGTAAGCAACATGGAAATGCAATATACAAGTCTTAAAGGGGCGGTGTAACAATATTCAGTTGGAATATTTTTTGCTTTACACGAGTTTACTGGCACTAGTGGGACCCAAGTACACTCGCATGCAATACCATTGACCAAGAAACAAACCTCTTTGTCGCTGTGTAATTTCAAGGATTAAAGCGAGCATTTTCATTCAATCTCCTTCGTACAAGTTGATGACGTAGCTTGGAGGTCACAGTATCCCCGAATGACGATAGTTGAATGTGGCTCATAGATTGGACCCGAGCATTGCGTGAGCACTCGATTTGGACTCGTGATAATCAAGAGCTAGACAAGCATTCGGGTAGCAGCCCGTGTTCAGTGGCTGCAATGACGACAATAGCTGAACCCTAACAATGTCTGGAACTCGGCACGTGTCCTGTGCTTTGCCAGCCTCGGCCCGTAGCTATGATTAACATTGGCGGCATATAATGGGCTCCAGATCACATGGCCATTTGCTGTGGCTGCGAATCGAGGCTGGTGAACGCTGCTTGTGCTTTAGAACCATCATTGGAAGTACAATTCAATTCTTCCAACACAAATAAATTTTTTGCAACGTTTGTTATGTGGGGAGAAAAAGAAACCCGGGTTTCATTGGTCACAAATGCGAGGGATTCGTTCGAAGCGATATTCGCACAAAGTACAAACATTTTTGCACTGCCCCTTCAAGTACAAAAGGGTCAAAATACGTCGGTGGAAGCCACTTCAGGATGCAGACACACTTCATTACCAATTCTTCCATGTATATCCGTTAAAAACACAGTTTTGTCCAAGTGCCCGACCGGCCTCCTAAAACAATACTTCTTGGGTTTGTGTTTCAGAAGTGACAGTCAAATCAACTTGAATTTGATAAACCTGGGCTTGGTTGCTAAACATTCATCATTACTGGCCCACTGTTATCACTCAGTAATACTTCTGCGTAGTCCTTCAATGGACAACAGAGCCTATGATGGTGGTTTGGGGGATCTGGAACATAAGATGCCATATTTATTGCTCTTGGTTTATGGCCCTCTTTCTGGAGAGCGTGATGTTCGTCTGCGGAATGACTCGCAACTTCCTAGTCTGCCCTGGAAATGCATGCTTGCACGTTGAATTTTGTGCATTGTGTTTGATAAAGTAATAAGGATCCAAATGTAATTTTTGTTGGCACTTCAATTTCAGTTACTGTTTGTCTCAGAAGAAATATGGTTTACTGTATTGAAATTTCACTGAAGTAAAAATGCATCCAACTTTCTCTGTTTTTGTTTACTGTACAATAAAATACCCAGCAAGCACCCACCCAAAAGATGCAAGAGCAAAAATACAGAGGGCGCATCAAGATTCATTGCACTGCGACAGCGTGCTCAAAGAAGCGGCCCTCGAGGTGGAGCATTTTAGTTAGCTAGGTGGGCTTGGAATTCTGGGGTATGCTACTGATGCGTCCTTTGCTGTGTGTTCATTCCTCACCATCACATTTCTTATTATCAGCCAAGAAGTGCCCCAGATAATTCCCTAACTGTGACTTGTCACAAGCCGGAATGACATGATGTCGGTGTTCCCAGTGGAAAATCTCGTGCTGAAAAACCTTGTGAAAAAATATTTGTTATATAGTATTCAGTATTTTCACCTAAGAACAAACAATGTGGCCGTAAACTTCTCAGACAAATAAGAGACCATAAAAAAACCTGTGGAGCATTTGTTTAATGTGGAAAACCAGCAAGCAAGTGAACAAGAAGAATAAAGAGATACATCTGAATCATGAAGACGGCCACTGCACTTACTCGAGGTGACTTTATGTACACTAGCTAACTCAAAAACAAACAAGTTACATGCTTAGCAATATACAATATGATACCGAAAATCCTTCAAACACTTGTTACTCTGAAATGTATGACTGGATTGGATGTTTCTTGTCTGCCTTACCGATAATTTAGTGCATTTATTAACTGGGATGAAATATTTCTGACTCAGCCGGCACAATGTGCACCATGTATACTAACATGCAACACTACTGATCCAGAAGCTTTTTTTTGTAGCAGTTCAATTGCAAGGCTTTCCTTTGGTCTGTACTTCACAATGCTTAGAGGGACACTGACAGGGTACTTATGCTCACCGAGGTTTTTATTAGTACATAACATACGAGAGTCCAACTACCCAGAAAACAATTTGTGGCTCGAAATTATTTTTCTTTCTGCCCGAAAGCCGCCGATCGAGAAGTGGCCGGTTTGAGTCTCGCTCATTTCCTTCTCTACTGTCGCGTGCTGTTTTCTATGGCTTAGACACAACCACCAAATATAATCAAAGTCGAGGGTCATCGAAGACACACACAATATTAATAATAGGAAAGAAATATGATACCCATTTTTGGTGGCTTCTAAAAAGCCACAAATACGTTGATTGGAGAAGAAAGGTATCACAACCACATGGCTTCTGTCCCTCCCCCCCCCCCCACCTCTCTCCCCTCTATATTCATTCTCTCTCCCCAGTCCAGTTTCGGCCAGTAGTTGAATTCTTTTACTTTATAAAAATATATGTGCCGCTGTAGCAAAATATTGATTGGGTACTCTACTGATGCCATAAGGAATCACCCGGCAAAAACTGAAAAATAAATTTTGGGGAGTATCAGTGTCCCTTTAGTGTTCTGGAGCTTGCAATTTTGATGCGGTTGTGGGAAGCACGTCTATAATAACAATATAAAATGCACAGAGAATTCTAACACTTTTTGTAGCTTGTGGATGCAAAAGATTCTCTCGGAAAAGTATAGTGATGTTGTGGTGATTACATCACGCCACGCGCAGGCGCAGCTGCCCAACGAGCCTGGCCTTGCCTGCCCACCGGATATGTCCCCCCCCCTTTTCCTGCGTGGGAGAATTCCCTTGGCCCGCGCACTGCAGTGACTGAGGAATGTGGGGAGCGGAGGGAAAAACGGGGAAAGGAGGTGGGGCCGAGGAAGAAGAACCGTCTGTGAACGGGTACTTGGAAATAAGACCAGTTGAGTTTGGGACACCTATGCGATTACTTCGCCTGTGCTGCGTCCCAACATTGGTGACCCGTGACACTCAACCGCACAATGACTGAGCAACTCAGCTCTGACGTCTTGATGGCTGTTGCCGTCAACATCAAGTTGCCCTTATTTTGGACAGCGGACCCCGAGCTGTGGTTCCTTTAGGTGGAGTCACAGTTCGCCGCAAGGCGCATGCATAATCGCTGACCTCACAAAGTACCACCATGTGGTGAGCAGCCTGCTGCCCGTGACGGCGAGCGAGATCCGCTACCTGCTGTTCTCTCAACGTGCAGAGGATTCATACAGCACGCTGAAGCGGACGCTCATTTGCCGGGTAGGCGGAGTGTAGTCCCGTACACGAGTTCGGCTGTGCTGCAGCCGACCGTGTTGCGTCCCAACATTAACTGGTCTTCTACTTCCAAGAACCCATTCCCGGGCTGCTGTTCGTTCTCGGCCTCACCTCCTTTTCCCGTCTTTCCCTTCGCTCCCCAGATTCCTCAGTCACCGTGGTCCATGGGCCAAGGGAATTCGCCCCCGCAGGAGAAGGGCGGACATATCTGGTTGGCAGGCTAGGCCAGGTCCGTCGGGCAGCCATGCCTGCACGTGGCGTGATTTAATCACCACAATGTAAAAGAGTCATGGTTGTGCCCCTTTATGATTGAATAGCAGTGCGGCCATTACTAGAGGTTTTCGGAAGATAACAATGGCAGGACGTGCTTAAAGTAAACAGTTGTAAGGTGCTTGAGCATGCCTCATGTGAATTCTTCGTCAAAGGGAACAATAATAATTTCTATGGAGTCATCCACACTTGCATAGATGACGAAGTCACAAGAATCAACATTCAGCAGTGCCATGCCAAGCTGCACCTGTCCATAGAAGGTGTGCTTCTTCTTTAGCCTAAAGGCATTTCCGACTTTTTCAAGAGCTTTGCAAGAGGCGGCTGTGTCTCGAGCTCCCACGACCTTTCCTTGAGTGAGGCATTTAATTTCGAGCAGCCGGCTAGGTACATAGTCACACATTACAATTCCGTCTGGCGAGCATCTCAGCCAGGGATTTTCTGTGCACACCAAAAGCCCTCAGGTCACAACTGTGTGGCCAGTGTCCCCGATATACCGGGCCCTTGCCAGTGGCTCCGTTCGGGCTCCATACCGGGTGTTCTCCTTTCCTTTGAAGCTTGGATTGAGCGTGCTCGAAACCTTCTTCTCCCACTCGTTCTTGCTGTACGTGTGGCGGGGATAACATGTTGTTCCTGGATTTTAAGAAACAAGGGCAAGGTAAAGATTTTTCTGTTTACATTGTAAGCACATCATTTCAAAGACCACTGTCCCTGACACAGGTTTAAATGTTAACATTTCTGGCCACGTGACACATCTATGAGACATAAATGGACAGCTGTCTCACTGCATGATCAACAAATTGTGCTGTGTTGGCGCATAACACAATTTTGTTCCTTTTAAGTTGATATTGTATTTGATAATAGTATTGCTTTTAATCACTTACGCCTGAGCATGTGCATGTTCCATGCAGATCTGGCCCATCCCCTTACAGCATGCTATCTAAGAACTCCAACCAGTTGGTGTCCTCCTTTATTTCAGTCACTGTGCCAGCCTCTCCAGCCACCAACTATGTGGTCTTGGCTTTAGCACATAATGTGCTTAGGTGGGCCAGTTGGTACATCGCAAAGGGTACAAAGCGCCAAAAAAGCACAAACCAAGGCACGAAGAAAACAACAACACAGGGCACACTCTCGACTGAAGCTTATTAGGAAAACTACACGCTATTATTCCCAACAAGAACGCACAGTCGTCAATCAATCCCTGCCCAGCTCACGTTTTAGGTACACATACTCATACTCCTCCGTAGATAGGGCCAAAGACGTTTTGCTGGCATGCATGTGCCCCGTGGCCCTAACCTGAAATGTCTCGTGTAGTTCGCGTGACACCTTGTTTTTGTATTTTGCCAAACTTTTTG